GGACGCTTAATCTCTCAAAATTGTTTATGTCATCAATAAGTTCAGCTTATGAATTCAAACGACAGATGGCATTATAACTTTTACTTAAGTGACTTTCTTTATATATTTTTAAATAAGAAATAATATAAAATAAAGTTTTGAATTTAACTACACACGGAAATACTTTACATCTTCCAGTGTTTTTAAATAAACATCCTCCATTATTTATTACTTAAAACTATACTCAATTGACTTTCAATTTTTTCTCGTAGAATGAATATAAAAAAACAATGCATAAAATTTTATAATACAAAAAATTTTAACATTTTTTTATAATAATAAATTGTTCACAGGAAATCAGAAAACAGCAATAAGAGTTGATAAATTTTCTTATGATGCAATATGTAAGTTAAAACCTACAAAAGCTGAAAAACCAACAACGTTTACTAGTAGTTGTCATACGTATTGTACCATAGTCTGAAAAATAATTTCCAACGCCGAAGTTGTCACACAAATTTATAGACTCAAGTGGAAACTGGAGTAAGTACCCCACTTTTCCTGGTTGCAACGCACATACATCTTTACTACAACAATCCGAATTTTGTCGTCGTTGCCAAGGAAGGAAGTGCGTAAGTATATCTTTCAGTATCAACTTTAATATGCATTTACCATTGTTTATTACTATAGTGTGAGAATTTTCCATTTTAATTTACTTCGTTTCTTCATAAGTTTAGAAAGCACTTGCTGTAAGTGCCTTAGTTTTGCTGATATTCCTTAAAGCTTTTGGTATTTACAAATTTTCTATGTAGTATATTTATATGTGAAATACTTAAATGCAGAATAAGTTAAAAAGAAAAGTAAATAACAGTGAACATTTACAACAAAATATGTCAAAAATTAATGCAAATATATACAAATAAATATATATATCAATTATTTGGTCACTTTTTATTATTAAAAGAATTAATAACTATTTGTGTTCTCAACATAATATTAGAAAAAAAAATAGATAATAATATGATTAAAATCTTGGGTGTAAATATAAATTTAAAATGATTTTATAAAAAATTTTGCCATAGAAAATAATAATTTGCAATCAAATTGTTTGCAATCAATAATATTTCGACATGAAATAAACTTTAAAGTAACAAGGATAAATGTTTTAAAATCTAAAATAGTAAAAATCTTGGGTATCAAAGTTAAAAGTATTTCTAGTCATTTCTAGAGACCAAAAATTTGTAAGACTATAATATCCATAAGAATTGTAACAATCGTTTAAGTTCCAATAAAACAAACTAAATTTTAAAGAAAAACATTATATCTGAACTTTACGTTTATATCCACCATTTCCACGTATTGCAAAATGTGAAACTACTATATATAAATAGTATTATTAGTAACCTACTATTATAAACGCCATAGAAGAAAATAATTTGCAATCAAATTTCGATAAAAAAAATCTTTAAAGTAACAAAGATTAATGTTTTAATATCTATAACAAAAAAAATGTTTGATATCAAAGTTCAAAGTATTTCTAGGTTTTCTAGAGGGCAAAAAATTCCATCTATTATAAACATAAAAATTTGTAAAATGTTCAGTTAAAATTGAAGTGATTAATTAAAA